CTAAGACATATTCAGATCAGGAAGAGCAATCAAATTATGTTTAAATGCAAAGCATATCCATGGAAAATATTACATGAATATGTTTAATATATATCATAGATAGAAGACTCCATCCAAAGTCAGAAAAGAAATACAAGTAATGATTAATCTATTCGGAGATTTACTTTACTTTTAGGGACAAAACCCAGTCCCATGAGATATTTTTATACATTAAAAAAAGAATCTCAAATCCAGAAAATTTGGCCATAATTTTTGTTGAGTTATAAATCTGTGATAGGAGAAAAACTGACTTTCACCTTCTTGAGTCACTTAATCTTTTCTGCCTTTCAAGCAGGCAATTGATACAGTTCTAATCAGCCATAATTCATTAATAGTAGAATTATCTTATTTAAAGCACATAATCTGTAAATGAGCCTGCCTCATGTTTATGGGTGAATTTTTTAAATTGTATTTTTAAACAAATCTCAGAAAAACTGAGTCATAGTCTGGCTCTGAGAAAAGTTACATTTTTAAAGTGGGAATGACTACATTATTTTAAATGAGTAATCATCTACTGTTTTATATGTTGTAATGGAAAGGACCAAGAAAACAGATAGTAGTTTTCTTATTCTTTATCCCATATTTTAAAAAGGGACTCGAGTTGACACTAGAAATCATCTTGCAGTACGGAGCCAATAAATATATACTGTGAGCACAAATTCTTAAAAATGTTTTATGGCAGTAAATTTTATATATATATATATATACACACACACACATACACACACACATATTATATATATATATATATATTTTTTTTTTTTACTAAAAAAAGCGACTCTAGTCTTAGGAGTAACCACTGAATTGGTTTAAAGGTGTCCAGTCTTCTGATTTAAAAAAAAAATACGGGATATAGTCTCTGTAAATTCTTTGGGGAGGCAAAACTAATTTACATGTCAGGAGTAAAGAATATTTCAGCGCTAAATTAAACAGCATGAAATTAATTCAGCGCTTGGGACCACCTTATATTTAATAAGGGGGCAGCCCCTTGGAAGTCGGGAATGTTTTAGAGATGTATCATGTATTTATTTGATAGCCGTGTCATGAACTCCTTTTCCCCAGACTTCTAAAAATGTTTTGCTCAGAGAGCCTTATGTTCAAAGGAAGGAAGGAAACCTGAGTGAAAATTTTCCTTCAACTTTGAAACAAGAAGGTATTAAAAGTTTAAAAATTACTTATTGTTATAAATTGTTCTGCAGCCATTTTCTCAGTTGAGCTTCCTATTGAAAAGCTTTGTAAATGCTCGATGTGTCTATGAGGGAAGGGAAGAAGGTGACGGAAGCACTGCTTGTGTTCCGGATGCTGCCTGACAACGCTGCCACCCTTTCACATGGTTTTATTTAGTTATTACAACTATCTCTCTGTAAATGACATTTAGGATTATTCAAGATTATGTTGTAATCCTTTTAATCCTCAGTGCTTTAAATTTCAGGCTAAACACCAAAGAGCAAACTAGCACTTAGCAGGAAGGTTTAAAACATGTGATTGGAACATAAATCTTTTTATTCACTCTTCCCCTGATGAAGACCTAGTGTTGTTCTTAAGTTAACTAAGAAAACCTGTACCACAGTTCATTACAAATCACTCGGTTGCTAAATGCTTTCTCAAGCTACATCAGACTTGTGATGGCCCTTGACAATTACGTTAAACACAGAACTGAACAAAAGTGAGCAGCAATGAACATTTACTAGTTTAACTGAGAACGTGTATGACCTTTTTAATAAGTACCATTTGTCTTTCAGTGTCGGTTTGTAGTTGTATGAAAGTGGTCACTTTTTCAGTGTCAAGCTATTAGATGCAAGTATACACAGAGACAGATAACATGTATGCATAAAGGTATGTACATTTTTACTTTTTAAACATATTATGACTTGTTTATGTGTACTTTATTATAGAAGTTGTTACTGATTTTTTAAAAATACATTATTTATTATTAAGGCCAGTTACGCCAAAAACTGTTCTAAAATAGGCAGATGTTCTTGAACTTAGCCAGTGAGCGTCATTCTGATTCACTGAGAGTAGGTAAATAACCAAACCTAATTAATTAATACTGCCACTGTTATGTTACTACAGACCAACCAAATAAGACTGAATTCATATCAGGATTTTTAAAAATACTTGGACTATGAAGAAAATCTAACTTTTAATACAAAAAGAAAAAGAAAAATCTCAAATGTCTAAGTGGCATAAATAAAGGAAACAAATGAAATTCTCCCATTTTTTGTGTCGCAAATGGTTGCTTATGAGGCTGTCAAGTATATCCCAGGCACGTAATTTTTTGTTTATTTTCCTTTTCATTTTAAGTTCAACTTCTCTACAGACATTATAATTATGTGGCATTTACTTGCTAATCCATCAACTTTTTAAAGACAGATTTCAAATTTTAAATTATTTCCAATTTTGCTCTGCTTTGATTTTTCTTGAACCAAAAATCTCAATAGTCATTTGCTATCTGTAATCTATAATTCATGGACTAAGATTGAACACCAAGCCTAATTCAAACTTGGAATTCTAAAGCTATTTCTGATGTAGCACATCAGCTGAAGCTGTGATGGTCTTTCTGAGTCAGGAGGAAACACTTCATTATTTTATAGGTAATGAAACCCTTGTACACACACACTCAAATACCCAACAATGCCTTAATACCATGTTTTTGAGGTATAATCATGTTTATTCTGATCAGTTGAGAGTTAGACCAGCTAATGTATCTAATCAAATATTGATGCAAGTCATCTAGATTTAGCTCTCTGGCAAATCCTTCCCAAGTCTTTTTTGTTAACAGAACTATAAAAGCTATTTATATTGTTCCTCTCAAAAGGCTTACTTTTGTAGGTTGTCTCTATGGATACGTATTAGTAAATTTTACCTAAGCTCATGTGCTTAGGTGATGACAAGATTTTAGCATGATAAGAAAACCATGTGATTCACCCCAAAAAGAATGAAGCAGGAAATGACATCTGAATCTTTCTTTCGTTTTGTTACTCAAAACATCCTCACAATAACCTCTTGTTTTTCTAAACCAAAGGTACAAGACAAAAAAAGATAAACTAGACATGTAAGAACACTGAAGTCCCGTGAACTGTTCTGGTACCTTACAAACAAAACTAGCTGGCAAGATTTTCACCACCAAAAAGCTACAAAGGGAGAATAATTTAATATCTTTGGAAGTACCTATATTCAGAGATATGAAAAATGAGTAAAACATTACAACAAGTAGTAAGTCACACTCAGAAAAGGTTAGGATGATACATACCATCAGTATAGGTGGTTTAAATATATGTCGATACATATTATATTCATAGCTATGTAAAATTATACTTAAATATTTTTCTTCCATATTTGCAGCCCTGTACACATCATATATATTTGATTACCATCCTCATTTGTGATTTAACTTAACTCTTTGTAAGTTTAACAGCGGGAACTGAAAAATTCTGCCTTAGGCCAACTTGGAGGGTTTCTATTGTCCAAGAATTATGTCAATCCCAAATTTTAATGACTTGTAACATCTGTGATTAGGATGTTAAATTCACAATACATAATAAAACTAAACCATTTAGCTCACCCTATCCTGTTCATAACTAGTCACACTGACCATCTAGATTGTCATAGAGGCTAGGATTATAACCACTAAATTTTCTTATTTATGGTAGAATAACAAAAAAAGCAAGAAATTGCAAGACAGACTATATCATTGTTCTACAATTCCTCACTTTAAATCAAAATTTAATTTTACTTCTTGACTCTGTAAATTCATAATCAGTTTTGCTTTAGTCCTTTTATCTCTAAGCAAATATGTTTAGTTTTCTTTTTTTCTTTTTCTTTTTCCTTTCTTTCTTCGTCTTTTTTTGGTTAATAAGAAATCTCTACCATGTAAAAAACCAACACCAATGTAGAATTCAACTACTATTAGAAAAATAAGTTTTTCCAGAATATGTTGAAAGTGTTTTTTGTTTTGTTTTATTTTTTAATTGAGTCCAAATTATTTGGATAGACCTAATTTAGCATCTGGAAAAAGCAAAACAAACTAAAAACCAGTTTTTTTTCTCTCCCAGTGAGAATTCCAATAAGAAATGTCATGTACTCACATACTTCTATAACACTCAATACATTCATTTTAATGATGTATTTAAGAACAGAGTTGATTTTTCTTCAAGAGCTAAAATGGTCTTAGAAGACATTTAATATAATAATTATAATAATCTAGTTCCTACTAAATGATATAAAATCTAAAATATACCTATAAAGTTATTGGTTACTTTGGAAATATAAAAGTAAATTAAATTTCATATAAATATAGAAAAAGATCAACCTCCATAATCTGAAGTTATTAATTGCCAAAGGGATTTTAGTAACATCATATGTGAAATATTGTTTTCCCATTTCCTTTCTTTCAAGGATTTCATCTGGTTCTTTCCATTCAAAGGAACATGATTGAAATTATTAATAATAGTTATTTTTTCCAAAAAAATTAAATTATACAATATGAAAAATCTAATTTTTATAGCTGTTCAGTGCTCTCCATTCCCCCTAAGTTACACTGTTAAATGTAACTTATGACCAGAAGGCAGGAATGGCAATGAATGCAAATAGTTTATTATAATTAGTGAATCTTACTTTGTGTATGTCTGAAAGTTCTACATTAAATCTATTTAAGCTAAGCATTCTAGGTTTGTATCCCAAATAGCTACCAAATACATGGCAAAATTCAGTGACCTATGGGTATATAATTAATGAACACACAATATATATTTTGTGTGTAGATAGCAACCAGTCACCAGGGAAAAACAACAAAACAACCAAAATTCAACAAGGAAGAAAAGCCAGTTTTTCACAATGACCTTTGCACAACTAGCTCATGCACATGAAAACATCATAACAAAGTAGTCTTGTTTTAATTACCCAAGAGAGCTCAGATTTAAAAGTAAGAAGAATAAATTGAATCTATGTAACATTCTTACCTGAAAGACATTTTTTCTGCTTGATTTTTCCTTGGCCCATTCAATATGTGCCCCACACAAATCCACACTTTCTGGTTTGTTCCCAGTTTTCTGTAAACAAAAATGCAATAAGAATAAAAAGCAAACAACACTGGTGATGCATGTAAGGAAAAATAAAATTTGATTGACTTAGCAGTTGTGTATTTATGGTGTAAAGCTTTTCTTTTTTTTTTCTTTTTCCAGTTTTAAATAGACATCCTCACTCATGCTCATTGCAACATTATTTTCAATAGCCTAGACATGGAAATGACCTAAGTGTCCATTAGTGGATGAATGGATAAAGAAAAAATCAAACTCATAGAAACAGGGTTGTTACCAGGTGCTGGGTTAATGAAAAGATGTCTGTCAAAGGGCAAAAACTTTCAGTTATAAGATGAGTAAGTTCTGGGGATCAAATGTACAGCATGGTGCCTATAGTTAACATTATACTGTATACTTGAAAATTGCTGAGTAGATCTTAAATGTTGGAACCATATGTACACAAAAGGTAACCATGTGAGGTGCTGAATATGTTAACTAGCTTTAGTGTGGTAACCATTTCACCATATATATCATATCATCACATTGTACACCTTAAACTTACACATTGTTATTTATCAATTATATCTCAAGAAAGATGAAGAAGAAAAAAACAAATTTAATAAATATTAAGTGCCAATTGTACACCTTTTAGAAATTCACATTTCAGACCTTTAAGACTATACACATAAGTATAATGTGTATCTGTATACAGTAAATTTAATTTAGATCAAATATTATTATAGCATACGCTTCCTTTTACACAATACAATGTGAGTGTTATTTAAAACTTGTTTTTAGTTCAGTAATTCATAATAATCAATTATTGGATATCCTCTATATCTGCCTCTTCATACTTTCATTTAGTTTAAGTGAACCACACTTACATAACTTTAAATTTGCATAGCTTCAAACATTAAAAAAAAACTTACCTGTTTGGGAAATTTCTTTCCTATTTTTAAAGAAAGTTATGGCACATTTCAAAGACTCCAACTATTTTCATACGTTCTGAGCTATTTTAGATTTTCCTATAGATAAGTTTAGTTTTCTCACCTTTCAGTAGAATACTTTAAAATTTTAGTATACAAAGCTTGTAATTTTTAAGTAGAAATCTTGTTTTAATGCAAATGAAGAAAGGGTAGCAGGGTGGTGGGGAAGGGAGATGGAGTCTACACTTTTTAAATTGAGGTATATTTGATTTACAATATTGTTAGAGAGTTTCAAGTGTATAGCAAATTGATTGGGTTATACATATTTATGTATATACCTGTATACTATTTCTGATTCTTTTCCATTGTAGTTTTTATAAGATATTGAATATAGTTCCCTATGTTATACAGTAAATCCCTGTTGCTTATCTATTTTATAAGTGGGCATCTGTTAGTCCCATACTCCCAATTTATCCCTCCCCCACCTTCCCATTTGATAACCATAAGTTTGTTTTCTATGTCTATGAGTGTTTCTGTTTTGTAAATAAGTTCATTTGTACTATTTTTTAGATTCCACATATAAATGATATCATATAATATTTGTCTTTGTCTGGCTTACTTCACTTAATATGATAATCTCTAGGTCCATCCATGTTGCTGCAAATGGCATTATTTTATTCTTTTTATGGCTGAGTAGTATTCCATTCACCTGCTGATGGACACTTAGGTTGCTTCCATGTCTCAGCTACTATAAATAGGTGCACTATAAACTGGGGTGTAGGTATCTCTTCGAATTAGAGTTTTCATCTTCTCCAGCGTACAATATTTTTAGACAATATTTTTAACAGTATGAACTTCAGGTTGAAACAAAATTATGAAAGAATGGTAGAAATGGTATAAGAAATCTGTCCACAATTGTTGCCTCATAGCCACCATATTTTATCAGTTTAATAGAAATGGTCTATTTTTCAAAAAAAGCCAGAAATATGGAATTTTTAAATTGTAAATTGTGAGGGTTTTTTTTTTTAATTTTGGCAACTCAATAAAAATGTTTTTGGAAACACTGTACAGGCCAAGCATAAGTTTCCTTCAGGATAAATTCAGCTGGCAGGACAGCAATTGATAGCGTACCATTCCTTTGTTATTTAGTAATAATTTCATGAGAAACTAATCAAGATGAGCATGCCCAGGGGGTGGGTATAGCTCAGTGGTAGAGTGTGTGTTTAGCATGCAGGAAGGAGTTCCTGGGTTCAATCCCCAATACCTCCATTAAAAAAAAAATGAGCATGCCTCTTATGGATGCTTCAGAGAGTGAAATATTTTTACTATTTTCCCACACTCTGCCACCCAGGTGATCACTGTTGTGAAAAATCTCAAAGCACGATAATGATCTTCATTGTTGAGTGATTTATGACATGGAAAAACTAAGAACAACTTACCTCTTCTACGGTAAATTAAATTATGGGATACTCAGAACCAATAGAAATAACCATCAAAACAAAATGCACATACAACAAAAGAGGTTATCTTTCCCATATAATGTAGTCACGATAAAAAGATGGAATAATTTTATATAAGAAGAACTTTCTATAGGCCAAACACTTCTCTATGTGTTTACAGCTGCCAGTTCACTTAGTTCTTATAATACCTATATGAAGTAGGTACTATTATTATTGCCATGTTACAGGTAAGAAAATATGCCGAAATGGTTAGGTAAGCTTCCCAAGGTAACACAGGTAGAAAAGGAGGAGTCAGGATTTAAATGCAAGCTGTGCCCTTCCGGAGTATGTTTCTAACACCATGTAGTCCTTGAAAATTGAATATACACTATAATCATGTTCATGGTAAAACATGAAACATTTTGGGAAAAGATATGCCTTTCTTACTAGACTCTAGTACAGATACATTGATCTTGCTTTTGACCTTCTCTGTTAAACCTGATCTACCCATTGGGCCTTTATACCACCTGCTTACCTGGAATAACTCCCAATTGTCACATGGCTGACTCCTTGTCCATCAGGTTCCAGCTAAATGTCACCTTGTCAGAAGTCTTCTCTCTGACTGCCTTATATAAAAGAGTGGCATTCCAGCACTCCTGATTACACCCTGGGTCACTATTTATTTTAATTTCACCACAGTCTTTCTCCTAACTGAAATTTACATATACATAGACTACCTATTTTTTCACCCACTAGAATTTAACTGCCTGAGCTGGGACCTTGTTTGCCTTTTCTTCCACTATTTTCCCCAATGTATGAAACAGTGCCTGGCACACAGTTATTGTTCAATGAATATTTGTTAAATTCATGAATGGAGCAAAACACCAAAATGCAACTAGTTTTGCACTTTGGAAGAAAGGTTTGAGCATCTTAAAATTCCTGACACTTTCTGTGATTTAGCAAAATGATAAACAGTTTAATGGACTCTTTGCGGATTGAACCTAGGATTTCACAGAATCACTCAATAAATGTTTACTGTATGTCTGCTAAGTGTCAGTGTGTTAGCCACTGTGTCAGACACTGGAACTCCAGAGACAGGATACTGACTCTTCCTTTAAGAATTCCACACTAGCCTCGGGTCTGTATAATTTTCTGCAGACTCTCTCTCTCTCAAAGAGAGAGAAAACTAGAGGATGCCTGTGGGTAAAAAGCAATTTAAGCTTTGCCAGTGTTCTTACAGTCTAGCTCTGCCAACCTGTAACTGTTCTCATCAGCATCATATACTAAATTCCATGGCTTTGACACCTGGATTGGGTTTATCGCAGTCTGAACTCTGTCCATCACTCTCAGTCACCTCCTAGCGCTCATGCATGTGACCTTGATCCATCTCTTACATTCTTCATGAGCTCACTGCTTCACCTCCTCTCCGCGTTAGCAATCTTCACTCTACTTTTCACCTAACAAATCCCAATTTCTGAGTCTTCCTTACTCCCATTCTGTTACGTTTGGTTTTGAGGTTATTGAGATCGGCAGACCTTTGTGTGTTCTCACAGTCTCTCAAGTCCTTTCTGGTTTTACTTTCTTTTATGTCCAAGCCTGTGTCCCCGCTTCAGCAGTCACTTCAGCCACTCTCTCTCCCTTTTTCTCTCTCCCGCTTCTCTCTCCCTCATTTAATGACCCACTCTACTCTCTCATCTATTTTTTCTTCTACAGTCTTCCTCATATTCTTTAATTCTGGAGAAATAACTTGACTACTCAGTGTAATAACATTACAAATAATGGCCACCTACTTATAAGAAGCTTTTGACTCTATTTAGCAAAACTTTCATTATTATTATTGTGAGAAGGACATTTAAGGTATCCATGAAATCATTGCCAAGATGAATGTCATGGATATTTCGCTGACTTTTTACGTGTTCCTAGTCAGTTTCTATTCTTCCCCAAGGCACATTTTTCCCAGAGCTTTACTTTTTCAAATTGGTCTACCAAATATTTGGCTTACTTCTAATTCACAGAGATCATAAAGCCCTTGGGCTAGAACGTTTACCATTCTTCCCACTTTCATAGTCGGTCTGTGCAATCAAAATGAACAAACACAAACTTTAATACATTTCTGTATGTTTTGCCTTCTGAAAGCTTTACATCAGTTTCTTATTTATTCCTGACAACAATCTTGTGACGGTATTACCATTGCCTTCAACTGACATGTGACGAAGCTCAAGCAGGGAGTGGCTACGTGCCTTAAATAAGCTCACACATTTAATAAGCTCCCCAGCTGAGATATGAACTCCATATTATCTGATTCCAAGTCCCAAGTGCTTGATCACAACACAGCACACTGCCTCCCTTCCATACCTACCCTTTCCTCCTACTAGTTCATATAATGCCCTTTTTAGGTCCCAAAATAAAACTTAACATTTTCTATTTCTTCCTTGTGTCATCATTTCCTGTTTTTACTTCTGGTTCCCAGAATTCTGGATGAGGGTAGGTAACTCTGGTCCACCTGTTTAATGAATGCCCATGTTTGGGCATGACAGTGGCATCTATGAGCATCAAAATTATCTGCCCTGTCAGTTCCATATAATACATGAACAACTCACAAGGCAGGTCCTGTTTTCCCTGAGAGGAAGAGATGCTCCTTCTTTTGTGTAAGGTTTATTTCTCTCTAGTTCCTAATTCCATCCAATCTCACTCCTTATTGCCTCTCAAATGGATTATATGCTCTAGCCTATAACCACACTC